CTGTTGCTATTTGGTGATAGGATGATAAATAGAACATGCACAAAACCAGTAGAGGTGTATATTATTCAGATGTATGTATGCTCTGTTTCCCTGAAAATAAGACATCCCCTGGAAATAAGACCTAGTAGAGGTTTGGTGGAATTGCAAAATATAAGACTTCCCCCGGAGGTAAGACCTAGCAAAGTTTTTGTTTTGAAGCAAGCTCCGCTGGTGGCTGGATGCTGCAAATTCCATCTCTGCTGTACAAGTGGTCGAGGAACGGTTGTGGGAGATCATTACAGTTTCCAGACAGTGTGGGGGGGCCAGGTACTTTACAGCCCTTATTTTTTGTGGCCCTGTGTGTGACGGCCAGTATATTTATTATATACTGACAACTACTGTACAGTATATAATTAATGTTCATTTTTTGTTCAGCAATAAATGTGAATTCTTCTTCATGGAAAAATAAGACAGCCACTGAAAATAAGACCTAGCACATCTTTGGGAGCAAAAATTAATATAAGACACTGTCTTGTTTTGGAGAAACAGGGTACCTCCCCCTGCTGCCTCACTGAAAGAGTAAGAAGCAGAATGCGTAAGTGCAAGTGACTGTCAAAGAAGAAAATCTTCAATATTGTCTTTGCAGAGGGAACTAACCAATTGTTTTATTTATAATATTTAGACTTCATAATAAACTTCCGAATGTCCTTCATTTTTCTTAATTTATTATTAAACTTTGTTCTTAATATTCTGTTTTGATGCCATTTGTTATACCTGTCAGCTGCTCTGAGAGTATTTGCCAGTTGAGTGGCATCTCTCTTAAATAAATCAATAATGAATGACATATCACACCAAGATACTCCTTTTTTTCCTTTTTTTTTTTTTTGGTCTAATTGATATTCAGCCAAATCTCTGCAATAGACCCTCAGCCATTGGTGCCATCTTTCCTGCAATTGATAAGAGGAAAGCTTCATTATGGAAACTGGCCTTAACTTCCCCCAATGTTGAACAAATTCTACATTGACACTGCATTGTATTTCAGAAATGAAGACATATGCAAGAGTATGTTACAACAGAAATCAGGTGTGCTACTGACATTATGGGACAAGGAACTATCTTTGCACATAAGGACATGGGAAAACCCTGCCCTTCACAGAAAGTGGTTTTCCCTAAAAGGAAAACAAAGTTAGGCAGGGAAGGAAGGGGTGTTCAGCACAAGAAGCACTGTTCCAAAGGCCCTCCAGGCAGTGGCTTGTTTTCTCCCCTGCCAAACCATCAAAGTTAAAAAGCAGTAAATAGTGGTTATTGTTATTTCGTTTGGGACAAAGCAAGTATTAGAAGTAGTAAAAGTAAAGTATTCTCCAAATAGGGCAAGTGTCCAAATGTCTGTTTCAGCTAACAGTGAAAAGCCCCACCTTGCTTTCTGGGCACAAAGAAAGCCAAAAGAATGGAGAGTTAGATTAACCTTCTTGAGACAAATAATGAAAAATTTAAGACCTGGCATTTGCTAAATCCCCCTTCTTCCTCAGAACTGGAACATTTGCCTTCCAATACTCTAATTGAAAATAACAGATCATCTTATGCCACTGCCTTGCTAAACATGTATATTTGTTGCCCTACTGCCCCATTTAGTGAGATTCTTTGTTATCACAGGAGCCTTTCTCAGTCTTCTCCCTCCACACTTAATACCTTTAAATTTTATTTGGCCTGTTGTGATGCACTGTAGTAGGCTTTTTCTATTGTTGCTGTAAACGGGGAGTTTCTCCATTGAATTTGATTCATAAATGGCTTTTCATCTTCCAAATCTGTCCTCTGTAATTACTTCCCAATAGACCATTTCTGGATTGTATGAGTACTGATTCAACCACTCTTCCTAGAGTAACCTCCTCACCACTCTACCATTTTTCTTCTCAAAACAAAATGGGTTTATTCCTGTTATTAGCTTGAGCAATAAACAAACATGTAGGGAGCACTTCAGGAAATGCCTGTATACAAGTGTATTTAACCTGTACCTAAAATGGCTTGCTTCATGCAAGTGAGCCATTGTATTCCTGCTGCTGCGGAGTGAGGATAGAGAGCACTTGCTGAGCCTCACTTGTGTGGGGGCCTTATTTCTGCAGCCTTGAAAGCAGTCTGGTTTTTCACTTGATTCAAAAGGCTCTTTGGGACACGCCATTGTGAAAAGTGCTGGATTAATGTGAGCTTTTCATATGTTCCATAAGATTTTGGTGGTGTCGAGATTTCATTACCATTTTACAGGCCCCAAATGTGCAGTAGGCACTTCACTGACCAAATAAATATGCAAGGCTCTGCCCAAAGCACTTAACATCTAAATTTGCACATGGTGCAGCAAAGAACGGCTGATCAAAACACAGGGATGGAAAGAGCATATTGGTATCATATGACCATGTTACTGCTCACTAGAGAGGCATGTAGTCGGCCTTGTTGAACTTTTTTTTAAAAGAAAATGAAGCAGCCCAATTTGTTCTAAACATGGATTAAGCCAAGAATTAGTGGTTTTGTTTTGAGAGCATCTGTTTTCCTTAGAACTTGGACAGAAACTTAGCCTTCCCCTCTTCATTTTCTTGCATTGTGGTGCTGTAGTACTTGCCTTTCCTATCCATCAACATGGTGATAAATCATCATCCTCAGACATTAACAAATTTGAATGTTTACATCAATAATAATCCTGTAGTTACTAATAAATTGTATTTTATTGGAAAGATGCAATAAAATACAATTTATTGGTAAACACATGATTAATGCAGATTTAAACATAAAAATGTAGTTACTTGCTATTGCAATACTTCATCAAAACAATTGTAAGCCATGTTAAAGCCATGCTTCCTAGAAAGCATCATTTGCTGCTTGCGTTTGTCATCACTTGCTGCTGCGTTTTTCACAAAGGCAATTAATCCAATTTTCAATCCTCTATTTGGAGTTAGTAGTTGGGTGGCAAGCTTCAATATTCATTTCCTTGTTTGATTATCCTACTTCTGTTTTGGTAATCTTTAGAACATTGTTAAGAGTATATTGAAAAAATCATTTGGGTATGAAATATTAGGACAGCATTGGAATCTTAACATGGGCTGTAAAAAATCAAATTAATATTTCAAGACATAACTTTCAGGGAGCATGCCACACAAGGCCTGTTTGAGTGCTTTCTGTCAGACAGTGTCAGACATTGAAAAGTATGTTGCCTGCCTGTTTTTTTTTTAAATAACAGTATGCCTATTGATTTATTTTTCTTCTCCTGACAACATGATCCTAAACGTTTTTAAATGTGTTTATTGCTGCAAAATGCAAAGTCTGTGTTGGATTTTTTTTAATTTATTAAAATAGATGTATATTTATAAGAGTTTGTTGCACAGAGTATATTTTCCAGCTGTTAATGTTTCATTACTACAAATAAAAGCATAAGTTCTAAATTAATATCCACTTCCTCCTTTTCTACAGTCTTATAGGATCCACTATGTGCTCTATGTGGGTTGGATTTTTATGGGGTGCGTGTGTGTGTGTGTGTGTGAGGAGCGACTTGAGAAACTGCATCGCTTCTGGTGTGAGGGAATTGGCCGTTTGCAAAGACGTTCAGGGGATGTCCCAACGTTTTATCACCCTTGTGGAAGGTTTCTCTCATGTCCCCAAATTGAGAGCAGGAGCTGACAGAGGGAGCTCATCAGCACTCTCCCCAGATTCGAACCTCCAACCTGTCGGTCATCAGTCCCACCGGATGAGATGGGATGAAAACTTTATTTTGAAAGAGTGAACTGAACTCTTCACTCTAGACACAGGCCACTCAATTGCATGAAGATCGCTGTTCCTTTCCCAAGTGAACCAAATTCCTTAAAGCACAACCCCAGTCCTTGCAATTAAGCCATGAATTAAAGGGTTTCCTAAAGTTTAGAATTAACCTAGAAAGTTTAGACTTCTGATCCTAGGAAACCTACATGCTATCTAAAAGCAAGATTTTTCCCCACACAACAAAGGCTATATGGTTCTAGTTATTGGTACAACCATGCAGTAACAAATAAGCTTCCAATGTGGGAATACAGAGGTATAATCTCGCTCATTCTGTAAGCAAATGAATTTGGACACCCCTGAGTCCTGATCATGGGTTCACATATGATCACCCCTTAAGCTCCTGAATAACTCTGGTGTCCAAATTAATTCTATTGATAACTAAGGACTTTGTTGAATCAACAATTATGAAATCCCAGCTGCCAGAACCTCTGTTTTGAAGATTCAGTTTCCAACACCATGAAATCCAAACAGAATCCTAGAACATCACTGCAGTTATAGGCCTGTGTGAAAATAAATGTCACTGCCAAATTCTTATTCCAAAGTAGAACAAAAATTGAACCTTTTTTATAAAGGAAAATAGACTTAATTCCTTTGGAGACTCTCAAATGAATCTACCCTTTGTGTAATTGTCTCGCGCCTGCAGTTTAAAACTCATCATGTGTCTTGGTGTGTTCCCAAAAAGATGAAACAAAAGGAATACATTTGAAGCTGGCCTTGTGATATAGAAGAAATAACCTGATACTCCAGTATTTCCAGTCAGAATCAGGCCCTGGCAGAACCTTAGGTCCATGCCTGATGTGAAATACTGAAATGGAGAAGAGAATGAGCGGGTGTGATTCAGAAAGACTAGACGCTTCAGACCTTCCTTTCACAACAGAACCTAGTAGGGAAATAGAATGAGCCTTGCAGTTTTTTCTGCCATAAGTTATACTAAGCCTTTCCAAGTACTGATGACTAAAGGAGTACCAACTACGTGCAGATTCAGTGAGTAGCCCCTGCTCTTACAGCTGAAGAAGAGCAATCCACTTGTTCCAAATTTCTTTTCGTTGTCACTCATTGGCTTTTTTAAGGACGTATGTTCTTCGTATAATGCTAAGAGCCTAAGTCCTTAGTTATAAACAAAATCCTGTTGTATGTTGTTCAGGCCTGCCTCTTGTGCCTCAGCCCTTTTCCCAGTTGCCTGTTTCACTAATACCTTCCCTTTCTGCTTTTCTTCACAGGTATCTTACCCGGTATTCTGTCAGATCTGTGAAGCCCATCTACAACAAGGGCCGAAAGTGGTGCAAGGTTCCCATGCCAATATCACATCCCATCCTCAAAGATAATGTTAATTATGGATCAAAACCTCCCCGGTTTAACCACTAAAGTAATCAAGGAACTGTACTGGCAGTAAGTTGCAACAGTTCAGTCAGTCCAGTGTTTCAATTATTTCTATGTCTTTTACATTCAGAAAGAGAAAAGGGATGTTTCATTTTGACTGGAAGCATACAGAAATCAGATAAAAAGGCAATTTACTGTTAGCTTCACAATAACTTGTTTGCATTTAAATCTCAATTAAACTCTTCAAGTAAACTTCTGTGTGTAATGCCATTTCCGTTCTTAGTATTATTCACCCTAGCAATTAAGAGAATATTTTAGTCACTAATGAATGTCTTCATCCACAGTAATGTTTGCTTAGATGGTGGCAGTCAATGTTTTCAGCAGTTTTGCTTGTAGGTGTTGGCACTTAAACAGAAAGCAAATACGATTTTCTAAGAGAAACATGGCCATGTATGTTCTAACATATATAGAATAGCACAGGCAAGTAGTACTCCACCAGGGATAGAGAAATAGTCTACTGTCAATTGGTGTACTGCTCCTCTGTGTATCCAAGAATGGCTGTTCAGAATGACCAACCAATGCCGATGGGAAGCCTAAAAGTAGGATCTAAATGCATGAGACAGTACCCTCCTGTCTATCCCTCAGCAAATAATACATGAAGGCACACTGCAAGGTAAATGATGGGCAGAAGAGAGGGAAAATACTGAAATGTTTATGAAATTGTTGAAAATAAAAGTTATATACTTAAATCTACTGAGATTTAGGGTCCTTTAAAACCTTCATAATTCTTATAACTAGTGACTGTTTGAGGCAATTTCCAAGAGTCTTCAAACCTTTGTGTTTGAGGTTCTATCAGCACAATTGGCTCTTGTCATGTCCAGAACCCCTGAGGAATAGCCAAAACAGACATTCAGTAAGGGTATTTTATTTGCTGTATTTTTAATCCCAGGTTTCAGACAGTTATATCTCAAAGTGACCAATATTAACAAAAGTGAGGCAAGCAAAACCATAAGATTTATAAACTACAACGCGCGCACACAAGAAGAAGATTAGAAGAGAGTAGCAAGCTATATAACCAGGTATATCTAATATGGGCCAGGCTGCTGATTTTGTGTTGATGATCCGACTTGAATAAAAGCAATTGTTGGACTCTTGGTACTGTTGGGTTTTAGACAAGGCCAGAACAGTGCGTTCTACTGCAGTCCTGGAATGACAGGAAGTTCCAGCTGCACATTCTTTCTCGCAGGGATGTGGATATGAAAAGAAATAAGATTCCCTTTCCAATTACAGGGTTTACACTGTAACATACCCTATGCAAGTGTTCATGTCACTGAAACTCAGCAAATGGAAGGAAAATATTTTCCTCGGTTACTTTTTAGACAGCAGGTTCCCCTGAGTTTCAGAAACACCTTGTCTGATAATAAGAGCAATAAGATACTTGTGCATAGATAGGACTCAGTTACCTTGAAGCAACTATCTGGAAGGGGAGTGTGTGTGTGTGTGTATCAGAATGACATACAAATCATTGCATAGTTAGAAGTGTGCAATAAGCTCAATACACCCCCACACTTCTAAAGCATGTGAAGTGGTTGAATGCATGGAACAGTATCCTGATTCACTCAGAAAATTAGCAAACTTGGGTCACTTATCAGAGTTGTTCTCTAAATGCAAAATATTTTAAACATGCTTCCACTTAGATATGGGATGATTTCACATTGAATCACTAAACAAAAAAGCATATATGTAGTTTTAAGTACAAAATTAATAGATAACATTTCTAAAATTTCCAGTCTGTGTGATCCTCATAGCATGAAAGGCAAATCTATATTCTTCTCTCCATTGCCAAAGTAGATATAACCATGCTGTTTTGTATTGGGAACATGGTAGAATGTTAGCCCAAGCCATAGGAGACTTCGTAGTATTAGCACTCTGCCTCCTCTCTCCACTTGGATACTCCAGGATCCTGCAAAAGAAGTGACTGATTATTTCATACAACTGAAAGTTTTTTTGTTTTGTTTTTGCTGTAAGACAAAATAAGATCAGATGCTTTGACAGATCAATGGAACTCAAAACAAAAAAAAATTCATGTTACTTTGACTGCTTCCACCATTCCAATACTACCACAGAAGAAAGTGAAAAGGCTACACAATACTTCTGTTTTGCTGTACAGGAGATAGTTGATCTGTACCTTATACTAATTCACATTGGCAGTTTTATCTAGCTTGCCATTGTCTACAGCAAATGGCAGTACTTCTGTAAGATTTCAGAATCTCCCAGCATTACATGTCATTGCTTGAAATTGAACCTGGGATCTCCTGCACACAACGCATGCACTCTGTCACTGTACTATAGCCACTTCCACTCGGTTACTTCTAAAATAATAGCATCGCTCTAGGATATTTTGGATTCCCAAGTGAACCTTGTGATACTATCATCTAATACCAAATCAATATGCTCTGTACAGACCCATGGAGTATATAGTACAGCTATGCTAATGAATCTACACTGGTTTACATGTTAAACACATCAAAACATTACTTAGCACAAGAGCCTTCTTCTGACTTTAAAAACCCACTAACTTCTAGCAATGGTCCTTCCAGGCAACAGCATTTTTTCATTTTGTGCTTTGTTTGCTTTAGTTCTATGAACTATATCCTCCACTGATGGAAGCCACATCTACTTCTGTTTGTAATGGGGTGAGACGGAGAGTTATTTTCCTTTCCCTGAAAGCAAAGTGGTATTTGAGTTGGATGTCCTGCTTTTGTGTTTTGAACTGGGGCCTGAGAGAGTTTTATACTGATGCTAAAATGTACTCGGGGAGCACAATGACTAATCATTTGTATAGCTTCCCAGAAGGGAATCTGGACAACAGACATGCTTAAGAAAAGGAAAGCAGAAATACAAACGACAGAGAAAGTTACCAGAGCGTCTACCACAGAAATCATTTACAGAATTAATTTTCCTTAGAGTCTAATTTGGCTCCACCTTTAGAGGAAGTATGCATTGGAGCAGTAAAGATTAGTTTCACTGTTAATTATGCTTTGGTACTGCTGAGGTTAGGGAGGCAATGTGAAAGTGAACTTTCTACAAGAGCAAGCTTTTTTTTCCCTGTCAAGAGTGACTTGAGAAACTGCAAGAGCAAGCTGCTCAATGGGCTACTGAGTGCTTTTATTCTTGAACAGACAGCCCATGAAACACAAGAGTGAAAAAAGGCAAAAATATTAACATGGATTCACCTTACCTAAGAAATGCTCAGAGAAGACTTACATATCAATTTAAGGAAAGGCTCAGAGATGAATTTCCTCACATCTGAAGGTTTTTATAGACATCAAAGTTAATTTGAGATGCTTTCTAAAGCTGCTAGTCTCCTGCTAGTCTCCTGCTAAACGCTTAATCCTATGTGCATTTCATATCAAAAGAAATGTCCAGGAAGCTAAACCGGAATGTTCACATGCACTATATAGATACATAAATTATACCAAGAGCCAAAATCTGGCTTTTTGATAATTACGTGAGATATTCAAATAGCAGCTGCAGGCAATGATGCTGTCCTTTCTTTGCTGAAGGCCAAGGTACTGTGTCCTCTCCAACATGGCCCCATCTAGCAATCTGTCACATGCACCTCTGAAACTGATTTAGGGACTGCCATTAAGAGCTATTCAAAAATTGCAGCTGGTGCATGGAACAACTGTCTGTTTTGCAACTGCAAGATGGTATAAGGGAACATGGCTCCCATCTCCCTTTAACTGTCTTACAAATTTCAAGCCTACCACTATGTCTGCTTTCTCCTCTAAGCAACAATCTTAAGGCAGCATCTATTCCAAGGAACCTTAAGGCAACATCTATTCCATTCTCCCCACACTCCACCATTTCAATTTTAATCAACTAACATTTCACATATTAGAGACAGCAGGTGAATTTAGGAAAATTTAGGCCAAGTTTCCTGCCTGGTACAAAGCTGCATTTCTATCATATTTAGTTCTCAAACAGATCAAACTTAACTAAGGCATAGGTATATTATTCACAAAGCATAATAATCATAATCATAATTGTTATTATATTTATTCATATCCCGATTTTTCTCCCGTAAAAGAGACTCAAAACAGCTAGACCAGTGGTTCTCAACCTGTGAGTCTCCAGATGTTTTGGCCTTCAACTTCCAGATATCCTAACAGCTGGTAAACTGGCTGGGATTTCTGGGAGTTGTAGGCCAAAACACCTGAGACAAAGAAACCTTGCTCTCCACAGGACTTCTTGAAAAATTGGCTTTCCTGGTTGACTGTGACAAGAGTCAAGAGTTCTCAAATTAGTGGCTTCCCATTTCCTGAGATGTCAAGGTCAAACTCTGTGAGCTGGGGTTGGATCCTTGTGATGACACAGAGGTGGGATAGAGAAAGAGTGTGAGGTGGATCAGAACTACTTACCAACTTCACTTGTTGGAAAATGAACAAAATTAATGTAATTTAGTCACAAACCACCACAGTTGTGGAAATGGATATGATGGCAATCTGGTTGAATGGGCCTCCAATTTGGAGAAAACCCTCATCTAACAAAGTAACATGGCACTCTAGGTTTGAAGAGTGGAGAACATTTTTGGCAACCAAACAGGTGGCAAAATATGTCCAGTAGCTGCAAGAGCTGCAACTGTTCCTGCTAATGTTAGCATTCTCTGTGGTCTAGGCATGCATCACAAGTGAATATTTTTTTCCCAGGTTCCATGCTGGTCTTCGGATTTGTGGAAAGTTCACCACCACTCCTTGAACTTTTTTCCCCAGGGTTACTGCCATCAGAGGTTGTACAACAAGAAAGCCCAAGAATCATGTTGCTCACCCTTCCCTATCTGCCTTACTCAAAATGTCACAATTAATATAAGTCCATGTACCCACCATGTCATTCTTCAATCTGATCTCCTCGCTCCTTGGTTTTTAGTGAAGTGATATTTATATATATATATATATAAATAATGTTTGACTTGTATACCGCCACTCCCAATGTGGCTCGGAGCGGTTTACAGCAGTAGATTAAAACAATACAACCAACTTTAAAATACAATAAAAACGAGAACCGACATAGTCCCGAGTTATTCACCCATCGAAAGCTTGTCAGAAAAGAAAGGTCCTACAGGCTTTCCAAAAAGCAAGTAGCTCTCGGATGGTTCGAGTTTCAACTGGCAAGGCATTCCATAAATAAGGGGCCACAATCAAGAAGGCTCTCTGCCTAGTAGAGGACAGATGATAAGTCCGAATGTTGGGGACTTCAAGCAAATTTTGGTCCTCGGACCAAAGTAATCTCTGGGGTTGGTAGGGGGATAAGCAGGCCCTCAGATATGCCAGTCCCAGACCATATAAGGCACAAGTGCAACACATATACTAACAACTTTACACTAAGCCAAAGAACATTAGTGCTAGTTGAGGAAAGGCGAAGTGTCCATCTCAAATACACATTTTCTGTTCCTGAGATTTGTCCCTTTCCTTAAAGAACAACAATTCCCTGTGACTTCAGCCAGCTCTCTAAGACACGGCAATCTTATTTAGAACTGAGCAACTACAAAAAGAAAATAAGCACTTGGCCTGCTAAGAAAATGAAATACATCAGTCAATCACAGTGCTGTATTTTGCTGCTGAACACACTGCAATTTGGAGTGCTATCTGTTATTTTGTTTTAAGATAATTTTCTGACAGAAGACTTGTGAACTTCTCTAAGGCCTCTGTTTAACAGATTATTATTAAAAATGCAGCTCTTTGCAGTAATTTGAAAATTTCAGAAAAAAATAAAATGTTCAATTAAAGACAAAATGCAACAAGGTTTTATTGGAATCAAGTAACAACTCATATTCTGGAATACAAACAGCTTTTCTAATTAATGTTCTATGATTTGTCTTGTCTATACAGTATAATGAATTGCCAAAGGGCCTTCGTGGAGATAAGTTTAGCCATGACTGGCAATGCAATACAAATGTTCATGCCAAAATAAATCCAATGGGTTTCAATCCTGATTACTTATTTAAAGATCATTTCCAATCATGAAGCTTGCTTATGGCAAATGAATTGCATTTTTTTCGTGTCAGGAGAGAATTGGCCGTCTGCAAGGACATTGTCCAGGGGACGCTCAGATGTTTTAAGGTTTCACCATCCTTGAGGGAGGCTTCTCTTATGTCCCCGCATGGGAGCTGGAGCTGACAGAGGGAGCTCATCTGCACTCTCCCCAGATTTGAACCTCCGAACTGTCAGTCTTCAGTCCTGCCCGCATAAAGGTTTAACCCTTTGCGCCACCGAGAGCTCCTATCAATTCCAATGAACTGAAGCCATATAGTTCTTGAAGCCTTTGAAACAGATTACTTTAGCTGGTCTATGGCCAATGTTAATGTCTCCTTTAAAAACCCTTAACCACAGAGCTTCTATTTAAAAGGTAAGGTTGAGGTAAAGGTTTTCCCCTTACATAAGTCCAGTTGTATCTGGCTCTAGGGGTTGGTGCTCATCTCCATTTCTAAGCCAAAGAGCCGGCATTGTCTGTCATGTGGCCAGCATGACTGCATGGAGCACCATTACCTTCCTACTGGAGCAGTACCTATTGATCTATTCATATTTGCATGATTTCAAATGGCTAGGTTGGCAGAAGCTGGGGCTAACAGCGAGAGCTCACACCACTCCCCGGATTCGAACCTGTGACCTTTCGGTCAGCAAATTTAGCAGCTCAGAGCTTTAACCCACTGCGCCATCATGTCCAATATTCCCAATAGCCAAAAGAGAGACAGCACTCTTCTTACCTCTGGTTTCCATATCCTAGTCAGCACAAAGAGAAGTAAGCACTCCCCATCTACTTGCCAAACTCCAAAACTGGATAATCCATGTGGTGATCAAATGGTAAAATGAAGTGCCTTCCTCTTGGAGGCCCAACTGGCACCAACACTTGCTTCATTTAGGCAGCAAGTTAAAACTTGCAAATTCATTAGGGCATCAATAC